GGGGAGGGAAGGGGTTAACCTATCTCCTGCCGATGCCTTGGCAATTGACTCGCTTTAACAACTGCCAACTTTGCATGTGGCTCCCATTTATAAAAATCAATATTTTGCCTAGCCAATGCGATGCGTATTGCTGAGAAGCGGAAGGGGAGGCACACAACGTTGCATGCACCATTCAGCTAGACAGCGTCATATAACTCAGCATAAAAAATGTCAACTGTCTGCGACACACAAAACTTATTTGTCATGCAATTTTCTCGAACGCCTTAAGAGGCGGATGAGGTGCAGTTTGAGTTTGAGTTTGAGTTTTAGGATGTGGATGTGGATGTGACTGAGGAGAAATAGAAACAGGCGGCAGACACACACCAAGCACACCACACACAACACACACAGCACACGACACACAACACACACGGCACATCTAGGCAATCTATACATGTCCATTGGAGAAAGAACCAGTTCGGCCAGACATAATAACTTATGGTAACTGGGTGGCTGCGAAGCGAGGCAAATTGTGGGCTGCGAATCAATAACGTCTATTGATGCGGAGCAGGTGACAGTAGTCGACTCCGCCAGAGCTACTCCTCTGGGGGTGGGGGGAAGCCAGGCAGTCAGGCTGACCTAGGCTTACGGTTAGTTACAGTTGGATTAGCTGCTGTTGCTTTGCAAACCAGTTTCACAGTTTGTCAGGCAAATAAAAGTGGAGCCAGCTGACAGCCTGTCTGTCGGTCTGTCTGTCTGTCTGTCTGTTTGCCTGCTGTTGACAATGCCAAGTCAGCTAATTGGTCATATTACTAAAAACTGTTAAAATATGAGTGCGAGAGCCAGTTGGTCAAGAAGCTTGAGCCGCTCGTTTATTCTGCCCACAAATGGCTTCATCTTAAAGCTTAGCTCAGTTGCAGCTGCAGCTGCTGCCTCTGCTGTTGCTGTTTCTGTTGCTGTTGCAGACAGATCCTTTGGCTGTTAACGTGGCACATTAACACTTTAACGTGCCATAATTACCCCGAGAGCGAACTGACTGGCAAATAAAATCATGTACGCGCGTAAAAATGTCAACCAATGCCTTTTTAAAAGTCAGCAGGCAAGTTAATTGTCTGTCCAAGGTAGCCGAAGGGACAGCGAGTTGAGTAGAGGACAGGAGAATTCAGGGCAGAGAGTAGAGAGTGGAGTGAGACAGCGACAAAGTCATAGTTGTCCAGTGATTGTGGCTCTGGCAACCGCAACAACAACAACAATGATCACCATCATCCTCATCGTCATTGGACTTCCAGCGCTGACAAAGTTGTAAGTTGTTGATGTTCCATTTGGTTGTTAATGTGGCTCGCATCGTTATTGCTGTTGTTGTTCTTGTTGCTGCTGTTGTTGCTGGGGCCAGTTTAATGCGCGACTGACAGCGAAATCAGCGACACAGTGGGGCGCTTCCAGACTATGGAGAGTACTCTTCTTTTTCCTTCTTGTTTTTTTGTCATAAAAGTGTGCCAGAGCACTGAACGAATATTTATGATACCAAATAGCCAAGAGGCTCAGCGCACACTTAGGTTAGATTCTTATTTGCAAAGTTTACGAACTTGAGTAACTTTTAAAAAAATAATAGAGCAACCTTTAACAGCTTGATTCCACTATGAACATTTTATGTACATTTCCCCATAAGGCACAACATTCTGTGCATTTCAACACTTTCGAGTTTTTTGAGTATTTTATATTTTGTACGATAATGGCAATATTAATGTCACAAACAGTTGATATTTAAGGGTTAACTTATTTTGAATGCAATTATAACTTAACTTATTTTTCATAAAGCTAATAAGGAATAAAATACTTTTTGTTAATTTAATTGTTTATTTCTCATTTGCAGATAAGTCGTTGTAGTCTTTATAATAAATATTAACTAATAGTCATAAAATGCATAATGTATAATGGAATCAGACCATTAGTTGTGTGGAAAAAGTATGAAATTGTGATATCAAATTAGTTAAACTGTTAGCTGTACTTCATAACAATCTTAAGTCATCTTTGGTTTTCGTAAATTTTGACCATAGTACGAACACCTCATTGTGATTCCACACCTCAAAGCGGGCACCAAAATTTTGTGGAGAACAGGATCGAAGCGTCAGCAACGTCGATTCAGAGATCGTTAAGTGAATTCATATAAAAATTCCTTAAATGTCGCATTATGACAAAACGATCGCTTAAGCAGCGGCAGAGACAGGAAGAGCGAGAGGAGGAACCAATGCCAAACAACATGATTTTTATGAGGAACCTGAGCAGACGACAAAAAACAATAATGTTAACTGGATGGAGCCTGTTCGGAGTCTTTCAGCTGCATCGAAGTGTTCTGCGTGATAAAAATGCTTAGCACACGGCACAAAATATTTGTTAACATGGCCAACATGACTGGCGAACGACAAACCAACAAAAAACAAAAGGCCAAGGGCAACTCTCGATTCCGATACCAAAACTAACGATTCTCTCCACTTTAAGCTCTGTCACCAATTTCTTTTCTTTTCTTTTTTGTTGTGTTTTTGGGTCTGTTCTAAAATATTCCGCATTATTTTCGTAAAGTTCGCAGCTTCGGCAAGAGTCAGCGGCTTGCCTCACGAGCATTTTGTGTTGTCGCCTCTTCCATTCAAAATCTCCTTCTACTTTTCGTGTTTTTTCCACATTTTTATTTATTTTTCTGTTTTCTTTTTTTGTTGTTGCAGTTTTTGCTTTTATTTTTGGCATTTCTGTGGCTTTTGGTCATGAATCATGATTTATTTGGAGTTCTTTTTTCTCTCTGACTTTTCGAATGCTGCGCAGGACATTTTCACTTTGTTTTTGTTGTTGTTGTTGCTGCCAAGTTTGGTATTTAGAAGGGCGGCGACAAAAATGGCTTAGTTTGTTGGCCACGTTTTGTTTAGCTACCAGCACCAGCAGCAGCAATACTTGGTGGGAACTTTGCACCGCCATCCACTGCAGTTGTTGTTGTTGTTTTTCTGTCTGTCTGCAAGTTGTTGTTGCAACTGCTGCAGTCAGACTATGCCGGCTGCCGGCTGTCGGCTGCCGGCATAAATAGTATAAACACATTCACAGTAGGTTTATTCGGCATGTATTTTGTTTAGTCGTGATTTGAAGTTGATTTTGTGGCACAGTTGCAAGCGACAAACTCCCAAAAGCCACCAAGCCCAACGCACGATACACAAAATTTAAATATTTAAAGGAGTTCCTAAATGCCTGAGACTCAGGTGAATTGTTAGCTTCATTTTCTGTGTAGCATATTTCTAAAGATTCAAAAGCTTAATTGACTGACATAGTTTGATCATAATATTTGAATATATTCAATATATTTGAATACAGAACTTCTTTTGCTTTGAAGAATTGTTTAATTAAATATTTTTATGAGGAAAATCTTGGCTCTTAAATTGTCTTTTGCCTCAAGAGTGACGACAATTATTTAATTCGCACATTTATTAATTGACTGAAATCGAATTCATTCGCTCATCGATTCAAGCGTCCTTTCTGCCAACCGAGTGACATTAAATAGCTTCAGGCAAATTCTGCGCCCGTTTTATTTGCCGTCACATTTTTTACCAAACCTCCTTTTTTTATAATTTTCTCGTATTTTTTGTTAGCATTAAGCCGGATATTGTCAGCTTTGCTGAGAGGGCGTGCGGGGCCAAAACCATCAGTTAATTTACTACGCCCAGCCAAACACTCACTCTCCCTGCCCCTGCCCCAGCCCCACCCTTAGCCGCTTGTCAAACGAACTAAGCGAGTTTTAATTAGGTGATGCAAAAAATTGAATTATAATCGAATTGCTTTTACTTGCAGGCCGGAAATGAGTGTACAATTTCAAACGTACTTTGAATGCCCTAACACAAGGATAAGCTGAGTTGAAAAATATATTATCTAGCAAACTCAATGATTAGATGGATTTTATCTAGCAATTACAAATATCTCTTTATTATTTATTTATTATTAATAATCAATTTAAAAGAATAATAAATTGCTGTTCTGTACAACATTTGCTTGTTATTACACAAAGAAAACTATAATCAATATTGGAGCAAGGGTATTCAGGCATCAGCCAACCAATTATTACTTATTTACCATTCACTTTTGAGTTAGAGAGGAGCCCCAGGTTCGTTCAGTTAAGAGTTACGTAGCCTCTGCGTGGGCAACCCAATTAAATTGCCTTTCAGGGGATGACGTATGCGACATATTGTCGGCGTTATTATTGCAAATCAAAATTAATTTAGCCAGTGGAAAATATTGCCTGCCTGCCTGCCTGCAGTGCCAATTGAATTTGTCCCTATTTTTCCTCATCATTTTGTACTTTTTATGCGAGGCAATTTCCAATTGCATATGTTTGTTTTGGCATACGTGCTCTGCACTTGCCACGCCCAATCTCCGCCTACCCCCCTGCCCCTTACACAATTATAGAGCCACAAGTGAGGAACTTGCACTTTAAGAATTGCATTAAACAACTTATTGTTGGTTGGAGTTTTGGTTCGCTGCGCAGGCGAAAACTTCCGTATCCAGAACTGAGACCGAGACTGAAACTGGAGACTTGAGATGGGAGACGGGGGACGGGAGTCTGAGAAGTGGGCGGGGACGGGGAGCTGTGTGTGTGGACTGTGGTTGGCTCTACGTGCCTGGATTATATTCTGGAGTTTGGAGTCGCAATTGCAAAGAAATTATGTTATGCATTTCACGTGCAACAAGTTGAAATCATAACAAGCTCAAGTTGCACTAAGGAAAATACTTTTATAACTGAAATGCAATGAAAATATTGAAAGAGCCGTTGTAGAAATTGAAAAGCAAACATTTTTACAAATCCTTTGCTTGTGTTTACATATAGCATTTTATGTGCATGTGAGTGTTAACAAAAGACAAATGCATTTCCTGCTACAATTGCAGATTGTAGTTGCTGTAGGGCTTGTTAAATTGTTTAGGTTTTTGCTTAAGGTTACATAATGTTCGAAGTCGGACAACCTTTTGCTGTGTTAGCATGCCTTAGAGTTGAATGTCATGTCACCAAACAAACTGCTAGGAGAGTAGGTAAATTAGATCGGACCCAAGTCTGTGTAGGAATAGTTGATAGGGCGTGCGGAGGAAAGAGAGAGAGAGGAGAGAGTGATACGATGCGATGGCTACCACTGATAAGATGCAGGTATTCCCATCGCGAGCAAATGCGGTGCTAATGAAGCAAAAGATTCTGGCCGCCAAGCGTGGCATGAATCTGTTGAAGCGGAAACGCGATGCGATCGACATGAAGCTGCGCGAGATTCGTACCCAAATGTCCGACAAGGAGGAGCTGGTGGATGATACAATGCGTACGGCTATATTCTCGGTGGCCAAGGCCAATCTGCTTGGCACGGACCTGAAGCCCGTAATTGTGGCAGACAGCCGAGTGGCGACTGCATTTCTGCGTAAGCGTCAGCAAAAGATTGTTGGCATCAATCTGAACTACTTTGAGCTGGAGCTCAATGAGCAAGGTGCCTTCCCGCTGGCCGGCCTGAGCTGTGGCGGCCAGCAAGTGCAGCGGGTGCGCAAAAATTTCCAGCAGGCGCTGCAGGAGATTGTCAGCTATGCATCCATGGAGTACACGCTGCGGATGCTGATGCAGGCATCGCGTCAAACGAATATGCGAGTGAATGCACTGGACTGTGTGGTCATACCACGTCTGATCAAGACCTCAAATTATGTCGACGGTGAGCTGGAGGAGTTCGAACGCGAGGATTTCTATCGGCTGAAGCGATCGCAGGCCAAGCAGCTGGAGGCAAAGATCGCCTTCTCGGAGCTCATCAAGACGAAGAATATGTCGCCCGAGGAACTGGCCGATTATATTCAACGTGCCGGCCTCCTGCATCCGGCTGCCGATGTCGCATTCGACTTGGATGTGTTCGAGGAGACAAGTCTGGAGGAACGCATGCGTAGGGCGTTCTATCAACGCCACTCGCAGTGGCGCAACACAATGAGGCCAGCAGGATCTGATGCATCTAACGACGATATCAAAGAACACACACATCTCACACGCAGTGCTGCCCAGTTTATGCAGCGCACCATCAAACGGGATCCACGCTCCAGCAGGGTGAGCCTATTTGCTCTCCCCAAACGTACCGAAAAGCCGCCAAGTCCATCGACATCATCCTCATCCAACACTGATTAGGTTTTTGTTTCACTTGGTTTTTTTTTTTTTGGCATCCATTTCAAATACACAATTAGACATGAGAAAAGTCTGCTTATTGTATCATTTTCTATGGCCATAAAATTCCGTTGATGACAAATAGTTGGCCAAAAGCGGCAGCTCAAATGGTTTATGTGGCCTTATACGAGTGGAGTTGAGTTGCGTTGAGTTGCTCGTTAGCCAACATTTCACCTGCAATTGAGATTCGCCAGCTCCACAACTCGAGTGCAACAACCATGCGGCATATGTTGCAACAGGGATGGAGAGATGGGGAGTTGGAAAGAGTTGGAAAGAGTTGGAAGAGCAATGGCTGGCATCTATTGCTAGTGTGTCTTTTGTGTTGACAAATGCATATTACAAAATGCAACTGGCCATAATAAAGGACGTCTATTACGACACATCACAGATAGCTAGATAGAAAGATAGAGCTAGCTAGGTGGTGGGTTGGGGAAGCGTGAGGCGACTCGAAAAGGTAGAAAAATAGAAATCATAATACAAATATTGTAAACATGCTGCACTTTTTGCTTTTGCTGTTGCTGTTGCTGTTGCAGCAGCGAGCAACACAAAGGCTACAGCAACAACTTGCAACGTGCACTGCGGTGAGCTCACGTGTTAGAGAAAACAAAACAACGACAACAAAGCAGGCGCATTGCAGGAAAAAAATAATCATACAACAAAAAAATACATACAAAATGCTGCAACAATTGGCAGCAACAACAATGGGGCTACAACGGCAGCAACGAGAGCTTGCAGCATTGCTGTGGCAGCAACAGCAACAGCAACGTCGGCAGCAACGGTAGCTCCAAATAATAAAAGGATGATAGTCAAAGTTTAATGACAGTTCAAATGATGTTGCCGCCGCTGGCGTCGCTGCTGCTGCCGTTGTTGTTGTTGCTGTTGTTGTTGCTGTTGTTGTTGTTACTGTTGCTGCCTTGCTGCACTTTACAATGTGCCGCAGCAAACAAATGAATGAGATTACATTTAAAATGCAGTTGCACTCACTATTTCAACTAGTTGGTAACTTTATCAAATTCCTATTAGCGAACATCAAAGTTGTCCTCATATTTTGTTTTATTTGCAAAATGTGTAATAAATAAAAATGATATATATTGTACTATTGATTAAAATATTAATCTTACTTATAAATAATTTTTATCTAAAATTGTTAAGCAGTGAGATGAAAATAAATAATCTATTTCCCAAGTTCTCTTCCAAAACTGAATATTTCCTCATTTATCCAAGCAATGATTATTATTTAGGTGACTACTACTCTTAGACTACTTTATATTCCATTGTCATGGAATATAGTTTTACTCAAATCAGTTATTCACTGGTTTATACATGGGCAACTATATTACAGTGCATAGCAGCTTCGTTGCAAATGCATTTTACATTTTGCATATATGATTCGATTTCGTTTTTGTTTTTTCAGTTGTTGCTTTCTGTTCATATGCATTTATACATATACATATATACTTATATATATCGTTATATATACTTATACATTTACTTTTTTTCTGCTCGTGTACTGTGTTGCCACTGATATTATTATGATGGTTGCAGGCACAGGGGCGCAGTCAGGCAGGACAGGCAGGACAGGCAGGCAGGAGGCACACAGGCAACGTGATGTTGCAACATGCGCTTGAACATAATAAATTTTTATGCATGATTTCTCACATTGCATGTGATGGCTGCCACTTGATGTGCCTGCTGATGCTGATGCCTTTGCTGACGCTGTTGCTGCTGCTGTTGCTGCCACACGGGGCGTATGCGCGTTCGGGCGCCCAACGAATGAGAAATGTGCAATTTCAATATTAAAGTAATTTATGCCAAACATATAAAAAAAAAGTAGAAATCGTTAAATATTTAACAAACGTACGCTTTCAAAATAATAGAGCACAACTTGCACCATGTTCCGCAAGTGCAGATATTAATTTAGCTACACCTGCAACTATTTGTCATGCGTCTGCAATAGAAGTCATTAAAATCTCCGCAATTGAAGAAATGCCTTTACTCAGATCAAAGGACCAGACAGTCACATCAAATGAAGAAATGCAGACACACATTGCTCAAAATGTGTCGGCTTCTCACAGTGGGCGAAAGTGAAGAAAAATCGCAAATAAATTCGAATATAGAATTTCTAAACTTTCCAGCAAAACGTTCTAGATTAATGTGGTTGAATTTCTAGCTTTCAGTCAGCTATCAACGATAGCCGTTCAATTGAGCAACACTCAGATATTATTCGGATGAGTTGCACTCAGTTCAACCATAGTGCAACTAATATCTGACAGCTCGTTATGCCAAATGCTAAGAACCAATGCCTGAGCATCATAGACATATATGTATGCAGAGAGTACGAGACAGAGCAGCCGATAACTACATCATCATTTGTCGGCGACTCTTTTGTGGCAACTGACAGTGGGTTGCTGTCGGCGCTCGGGGGTAGTGAAGTGTAATATAAAAACACTCAGAGACTTGTATGCAGAGTTGTACATATGGTAAAATGATTTAAGAGCTCATGCCATGCCGATCATAATGCGGATGTGTATAAAGGCTGATCGTGTGTAGTTCTTCTTGTTCTCGATAGTGGGGCATTATAAATCGCCTGGCACTTGTGCATTATGTGCCGCTCAATCAGTCTTCCCCTTCCGTGCAGCCAACTAGTTGTTTCCCTGCTTCATTGGGATCATTGTGCAGCAATTTAATTGCAAAATCACATTAGCATAAATTTGTTAAAAACATTTTCAAGTGAAGCTATGGCAGAGAGTACTAAAAGACTTGGGCCAGGGCACAATGACATTAATAAGCAATTACAAAACAGAAAATAGCAACTGCAAATTACTTCAAAAGGCTAAAAGCGTATAAGCAGCTCTGGCAGGCAAACACACAGACAGACAGACAGACAGACAGATAGGCAGATAGACAGACAGACAGGGTCTCCGGGGACTCTTGCTCTAGTACATCATCATCATCATCATCAGCATCATTTATAGACAGAGTCAGAGGCGCAGCTGTCATACATCTTCATAGTGCCTGCTATGGCAAAAATGACCTCCAGTTACAAGTAGTTCGCCATTATACTCTGTATTTCAGTGACAAAAGCGGGTATAAGTGAATACATCAATTATTTCATTACTTTGAGCTGTAGTCAAACATGGCTTAGTTTTAACATCCAGTTAACATTATTTGCTTGGCTGTCAGCCAACATTTCAAACTCCTTCTGTGGACAGAGTATCTCGCAGTCGAAAGGCTGCCAACTGCATTTGAATCTCTGTCTGTGGCTCCGTTAGCTGACATTGCACTGTTATTGCTTCAAGTGGCTTCATTCATTGCATATCTCTCGTTTCCCTTTGCTGCTGCTGGACAAAAAACTAAATACACAAGGAAAAAAAAGTAGAAAATACAGCTGACGGCGCGCCACGTCAGGCACGACAATGAGCTGACTGTTTAATGTCCTAGCTACAAATCCTCTGCCCCCAATCCCTAGCCCATCTCTTAGAACATCCTCTATGCTACACACACACACACACAGGCAAAAACAAGAGCAACCTTTATTAGCAAAAAGTTTCTGCCAGTCTAAGCCAAGAAAAAGCGCCGCTGGCTGCATTTTGTCCAATAGACGAAAAGGGTTTCTATTTATTAGCCAACTGCGTCTCTGTTCCTGTCTCTATGCATTCGTATTAGTGACTATTGCTATCTCTATAGCTTAGGGTTTTGGGGGGAGTTATGAGCAGATTAGGCTGGCAAACAAGACACAGCTCAACTGAGGAGAGCTGACAGAGCGAATATTGTCGACTTAGCCAGACATTAGTAAGTGAACTAGGGGGAGAAATGTGGACAGAACAGAGAATAGAGTTGGACGAATTTGTTATTTGACTCCAAAGTTAAACTAAGCTTAAACTTAAACGTTGAATAACCAAATTACACTGCGCAGCATGAGGAAATATATGAAGAACTTTGGAGAGAAGTTAAATTAGAAGAGGTATCAGAGCAGAACAACATTTGCATTTCATGCTTTAATAATTTAATTTACAATAAACTTAAGCAAATAAATAAAAAGCAAGCTCGCATTGAACTAAAGCATTTAATCCAAGTTAGCTTGCAATTTTAGACTATAACTTTAATTCCCATTTCAAGCTAAGAAGAGACCCTACAGAAAAGTACCCATTTCACTATCACATATTTTCAAAATAATATTATTGCATTGCCAAATATTACTTTGGAAATTCTGCAAGCATGCTTCAGCAAACTCTTTGTTATCTTAATTTCAGTTGTAATTTAAGAGTTGACTGCAACTCGCGGCCAACACCAAAGGGAGCACAATGCTAATTCTCGTATAACTCATCTGCATAGCGAGGCACTTGGCACTTGGCGCTGAAACTGAAACTGAAGCTACAATCTGACACTAGGACTGCCACCACACTTGCAACATCTACTTGCAGCAGCACCACAGAAATGGCAACGCGGCCGCAACTATCTGCAGTTGTGTGTTGCATACATTACGCAACATTTGGCGTTTTGCGATGCTGCCACAACAACACAGCAACACGCTGATTATTGCTGATAATGATAGTAGTGGCAGTCGACAGTTGGAATAACAACCCCACTCCCACCTCACTCCACCACCACCACCACCACCAGAAGCCAAAATGGTTGGCTGGCAGAGAGTGCGTTCACAACTGCGATTCGACTTGTTGGTTGCGCTTTTTGCCATTTGCCAAAATGAAAATGGGCAGCAAGAATAGTGTACAAACACAAACAGCAGTTGCAACTGCCTCCCCGGGCCCATTTGTGGGGCATAGATATGAGCGACAATTAAGTGTTTGCCGCATAATGATGTCGCCTGTTTTTACAGCATGCTGCATGCAGCATGTTGTTGCAAACGGCAGTCAACAGCCAGCAGACAGTAAGTGGCAAACACAGCCTTTCGCCAGTTGCAGCAACTTTTTATCGACATTAATACACGTCGCAAATATGCAGGATGCTTTTCGAGGCCAGTACACAACGGATGTGGATGCGGATGTGGATGTGGATGTGGATGCGGCTCTTT